TTTTACCACATATCCTCAGTATGTTAATATATTTGTTTATATTAAAATAATAATAAATTCTATTAGACCTGCTATACTAATATCACATAAATTATAGAAAAGAAAAAATTTCTGCCCACACCCTAATGGACTGTCTTACATACCTCCCTGGGGCTTACACTTCAAAGATTACTAAGAACAACATGAAAAATAAAATGAATAGCTTCCTGGACCTATTTCCCCTAGGCCTACAACCTTACCTTATTAGATCTTCCCATTCCAATGCTGAAAAACACATACCAACACAGAGAAAAAAATGGGGAGAATAGAGAAGGGTCTTAAACAAAGCCAGTTTAAACAGAAGCAGGTAAGAAATCCCTTTTACAATAGGAGGTCCATGGAATAATTAAGACTGTGTGATAATGAATCACAAAAGAAGCTCCAAAACACCATCCTAACTGGAGCTTTCAAATTCTTAAAAAAACTCAGTTTATCATCATGTCCAATAAATATCCATGGTCCTAAGCCATCTGTATCAGTTCAGGCAAACAGAAGGGTTGGAAGAGAGGAAACTTGAGATTCTCTCAAAGACCAAGGATATCCTCTAAATAAGTATATTAATAAAATCTTGAGCTGAGAAACATGGACCACTGGATTACGTCAGAGAGAAATAAATCATATAGGAAAATACAGCTCTTATTTTCTATATTCATGTCCTCCAGTAGATCATATTTCAAAAAATTATTTAAGCCAAAATGCTGCTCCCTAATCATAAACAATACTAATCAAGTATACAAGCATTATTAAATTTCTCTGGGTTTTTTTTTTTGACATTGGGTCTCACTCTCACCTAGGATAGACTGTAGTAGTGACAACATAGCTCACAGCAGCCTCAAACTCCTGGGCTAAAGTAATCCTCCTGCCTCAGCCTTCCAAGTAACTGGGACTATAGGCATGCCACCATGCCTGGATGATTTTTCTATTTTTGTGTAGAGATGGGGTCTCATTATATTCCTCAGTCTGATCTCAAAGTCCTGGTTTAAAGCATTCTTACTGCCTCAGCCTCTCCAAGGGCTAGGATTACAGGTTAATCACCAAGCCCAGCCTCTCTATTTTAAGTATTTATAAAGTTATTAAAGATAACAAGGTAGTACAGTCAATCATAAAATACAGTATTATCTTAGAATTACTACAATATGCTTCTCAAATTTCTTGGCTTTTTGCTTCATAATTTCTGCACTATGCTACAAAATAACAAAATGAAAAAAAAATACACCATCAGGATAAGACAATACTAAAGATGTTCTTAAGGGAGATTTTACAAACATGACTAAAAACACTTAAAGATACTAAACGCTTTCTGAAGAGATGGCCCAAGAATGTCTGTTGCTTTTCCATTCATGTTGTCAATTTCCCTGTCATACACATAGCATTAAAGATGAAGCTGTCCTCTTCCCTAGTGCCTAAAAGGAAAAAAACGGAAACAGAAAAAAGGAAACTTCCCAAACTACCATCTCAACAAGACTAGCAGCATTTAACAGGAGAGAATCGGCCCCTTTTTAAACTGGATCCTTGGATCCCTTATTACATAATTACTTCACATTGTCTATTAGACTCAAAGCTTTGGCTGAAAGGATAACCAAATAAAAAGAGGCCCACACAAATTTATCTACCTTCCCATCCTTGACTTTTCTGTTTCCTTCTTTCTTTAAGAAAAATGGGGTCCTTTGCCCAGGAAAAAATGTATTACTAGCTCTTACCTCAATAAGGTTGCCTAAACAAATGTGTCTATCTCCTTTTCTTTCAAATTCCATTGAAATGACAAGGGATAACCACACTAGAAAACTAAAAAAGATGTCACTAGCAGATTAGAAGTTTAAACATCTCGATCCCTGGTTTAGATGAACTTTACCACCCATCAAAATCCCTAGAGGGCTGGTTAAAACACAGATTGCCGATCTCCACTTGTAGGATTTCTGATTTAGTAGGTCTGGAGTGGAGCCTGAAATTGTATATATCTAACCAATCCCCAGATAGCTGATTCTGCTGGTCACCAGGACTACATTACAAAAACCACCATCATGAGTAAATAGAGATTATTAAGAAAAATGCTTTTTACTCATTCTAATTAGCATCCTTAGATTCAAGAGAATGGTACAAAGGAACGGCAAGTGGAAAATAAGAAACGGTTCTGGATAATTGGAAAATATGTAATTTCTGAATTAAAAACAAAATTCAGAAGGGCTAAATAACTTAGATTCAATTTAGCAGTGTGAAAAATAATCTTAGACATCTTTTAAAACACAGAGCAAAAGATATAAAAGGATAGGCATAAAGGTCAGTATCTACATAATAGGTTTCTAGAGAGAGCACAAACACATTACAAAAAGTAATCAATGAAAAGAAGAAATTTTTCCTAAGCTGAAACCAACTCAAGTCTTAACAGCACAAGGCCAATATCTTTTTTTTTTTTGGAGACAGAGTCTCATTATATTGCCCCTGGTAGAGTTCCACGGCGTCACAGCTCACAGTAACCTCAAACTCTTGGGCTTAAGCGATTTTCTTACCTCAGCCTCCCAAGTAGCTGGGACTACAGGTGTCCACCACAACACCCAACTATTTTTTGGTTGTAGTTGTCATTGTTGTTTGGCAGGATGAGCTAGGTTCAAATCCGCCAGCTCGGGTGTATGTGGCTAGGGCCCTAGCTGCTGAGGTACAGGCACCAAGCCAACATAAGGCCAATTTCTAAGCAGGTAAAATTTTTTAAATCCAACAAGTAGGTATCTATTTGTGACACTTTTAAACTTAAGTGACATAAGACAATAAAAAAAAAAAACCTTAAAAACTATGAAAAGGAAAACACACATTATTACAAAGGAATATAAATCAGACTAGCATCAGACATTTCAACACTATGCTAGAAAGAAATGGAATGTTGTTTTCAAAGTTCAGAGAGAAAATCACTCTAAATCTGGAATTCTATGGTTAACTGCAATAAAGTTAAACTACCAAATATGAAGGCAAAATAAATCCTCAGAAATAAAAGAACTAAGCAAATTGACTTCCCATACATATATATTGATTTCCTACTTCTGTGAGAAATTCATAGAAAACTAAATGGATCTCAATGAGCTAAAATTAAGATGCTGGCAGAATTATATACCTTCTGGAGGCCCTAGGGAAGAATCCACTTTCTTGTCTTTTCTAGCTTCTAGAAGCTGCTAACATTTCTTGAAGAGTGGTCTCCTATCTTCAAAGCCAGCAATGGCAGAGTGAATCCTACTTACATATACTCACTCTGACTCTGACTCTGCTGCCTTCTTCTTTCCTCTATAAGGACCCATATGATTCCAAAGGACCTCCCTAGATAATCTAGGATAATCTTCTCATCTTAAGATCTTTAACTTTATTACATTAGCAAAGTCACTTTTGCCGTGAAAGATAGAATACTCATAGATTCCAAGAATTGGGATGTGAACATCTTTGGCTGGCCATTATTATGCCCACCAAACCATACAAGGACTCAAGAATGTCCCCAGAAAAACAAAAATAAGAACTCATGAAAGAGGATAAGATGGGATATATGAAAACAGATACCCCATAAAAAGAAAATTAAAAAGAAATTTTCAAAGAAAAAATTTGACCTTGACATGGCATCTTCTCATTCTAGAAGCATAACTTTAAAGAAACACGATTATGTTTTCTTCTGTAATAGTCCATTTATGCTACTTGATTCTACAGTGAATAAAATTTACATAACCAACATGTTATAAATATAACAATTAGTTTCCAATTTTCATAAGTAAAACAGAGCATCAGAATACACAAACATCTATGTGCCTAGTTCTGGGTTCTGGCAGATTCTGGACTCCATACATTGATCTCATACTTGTATAGATACTAGATATTATTTTTTAAATATATCCTGTCTAATGAGAACTTATTAGAAGTTACACAGTAAGCATAGAAAATAAGATAGCAGCATAGCCAAAGCTAAACCTATTAAATGATTCTTGCCTGTATTTTATAAAATAGATATGAAGGAGAAATTTTTAAATACGTACATATTTTTATTAACTAGCTGATAATTTATGGAGTTGCATAATATATTCAATGTTAATTTTTGTATTTACTTTTAGATATCAAAACAGATAGATATAAAACCTAACATTACTGAGAATTTCAAAAAGGGGTACTCTCAAAGACTATGACCGGAAAAAAAAAAAAAAAATGAAGCAAACTTTAGGAGTATAATCTACAGTGTGTATACCTTTTGACCTAGTAGTTTTCTTTTAGGAATCTAGCATACAAAAATATCATCACTTAGTACATAAGAACTCCACTGTAATATCATTTAGAATAGGAAAAAATGTGAACTGATCTAAGTATTTCATCAAATGGAAACTGGTTAAATACACTATAGCCAACCATTAATGGAGCAGCCATTAAGAATGAAGTATAACATAGAAAGATGTAGGCACACACATAATACAAATGTGTTTTTAAAAAATTTCATATAGAGAGAGGAAGAACTGAAAGGATATAAATAAAACCAGAACCTACAGTTAATCCTTTGGAAGAAAAAGTAGTATGTGAACTTTCAGTTTTATGTTATACACACATTCTGTTTGAATTTTGTTTCTATGGATATATACTACTTTTAGAATATCTTTTACCTTTAAAAAAAAAGCCCAAATTACTAATATTTAAAAACTGAACTCAGAATAATCCTTCTTTAGATCATAAAAGGGAAAATTGGCTTGGGAATATGATCTCCATGCAGGAATGCCAAAGCTTTCTGTGGGATATACAGCAAGCAACATATGGTCAACACTTAAATGCATTATTATTATTAAATGTGACCCATATTGATGGCAGATTTTGGAGTTCCTTAGAGACACTCAGTTGACTAAAACTACACTATATAATTTTTTAAAAAGTAAATGAAAACATCAATATACTCTTTATCATTTCCTTAAAAACATTTTAATAAATTAATATTTCTATTAACAAACACCTACCGAATCATTGGCCACTAGTGCAAGTGCAAGGTTCACTGTAAGAAACAAAAAAGAAATTGAATTTAGTGACTCTTTCTATTAAAGTTCATTTTTTCCTTTAATATATTCAATGTAATAACAGAAATTTCTGTAAGCACAGAAATTTTTAATATATCTCCCTTACTTGTAAAGAACAAGAACATAGAGAGAGCACAGTCAAAAGAAAAGAGAAAGTAATTTTCCAACATAAGCAACAGATGCATGTCCCAAAATTCACATGTTAAATCATTCATTTATCATTTGTTACAACTGTGTTCAAATAAATCACTTAGTTTTTTTTTTTTAAAAGCAATGTTAACAGGGTACACATTTATTTTCAAAGTGTGTTTTGTAAAAAAATTATCATTTGATAGATAAAAATGGATATGATCCTATTGCCTTTTAAAAATAAATTCTGATATTGCAGGAGTTACAAGTATTTCATGTGTATGAAAGGCTGGGTCACTATGCACAGAGGGAAGGGAAAAGGGTAAAAGGTTAGGTGGTAATACATAGTGTTCCCAAAACCGCTTAAGCCAGCAAATGTGAGAGCCAAAGGAAGAAAGTAGTAGTCCCAAAGCCAACTTTAGCTTAGCAAAGGAAGATGCTACATATGAGAAGAGAGTTCCAAAAGTAACACACTTCCAAGACCGATAAATACACCCTCATAAAGTTAACCATCTTTCCTTACAGAACAATGCCAACAATTATGTCAGGGTTATTTTCTTCAAAGCAGCTAAAAAAAAGCATAAGTGTTTAGTTTTAAGTTTTAAGGCAGACGTGGTTCAAATCCCAGCTCCAACACCTTCCATTGCATAACCTTGAATAAGTTATTTTACCCATCAATCAGTTTCCTCTTTTTTAAAAGGAAAATAATGCCTGCTTCATAACTGCTGCATGAATTAAATGAAAGTACTAAGTACAAGGGCACAGAACTTGATAAATTCGTTTTTATGTATCATAAAATAGGCCAGGCACAGTGGCTCATGTCTGTAATCCTAGCATTTTAGAAGGCCAGACAGGAGGGTTACATCAAGCCAGGTGTTGGAAACCAGCCTAAGCAAGAGCAAGACCCCAACTACAAAAATACAGAAAAAAATTAGCTGGGCATTGTGGTGCACACCTATAGTCTGAGCTACTCAGAAGGGAGACAGGAGATCTTTTGAGCCCAGAAGTTTGAGGTTATTATGAGCTATTATCATACCACTGCATTCTAACTGGAGCAACAGACCCTATCTCAAAAAGAAAAAAAAATTATAAAATAATTCTGAATTTCAGGTTCAGGATATATTATATATAACCCAACTTTAAAATCAGAAAGTTTTAGAGAGTAATTCATCTTAAAGTTAGGTTCTTCCTACATTTATACAACAGAATCACAGAGCATGTTTACATTTATCAAATGTCATCATTCTAACCCAAAGTATCTCTAGCATATATATTCCAATGGAAGGGGTATTTTGAAATGGTTTAGAAGAGGAATACGTACATATAAGGGAAAGAGATATAATACCAACAAAATTGCCTGGAAATAGTCTATTTCTAAGGCTTAAGTATGCTGACAACTATATTGAAAAAGCCATCTGTTTGATACAGATAGTATGTTAATGACAAAAAGTGAAGAAGGGACATTTATTGAAGCACCTACTACATGTCACACTCGATATACTTTCTCTCCTATTTAAATGCTTTCACATTCCATGGCAACAGATCACCTTCCAACTAAAAACGATAAACAATCCAGGTGGCACCTGTGGCTCAAAAGGAGTAGGGCACCAGCCCCATATGCTGGAGGTGGTGGGTTCAAACCCAACCCCCGCCAAAAAAAATAAATAAATGAAAAATAAACAATCCATTTTAAATGAGTACTAGCCTACAGACCAAAAAAATTACATTGCACAAAACCTAAAGAATCAATGGCTACCATCATGAAAATACTTTCTATCTTTATCCAATACATGTAATCACAGAACATGCAAAAGGATTCATACCACTGAAAACAGAAAAGTGTACTCTAAATTTTCAAAAAAAAAAAAACAGAAAGAGGTAATTTCTAGAACCAAAAACTAAGAGCTTCTAAATTTTAAAAACAAACATCAATCAGATGGATTGTAGGCCCTGAGGAAAGAAAGCAAAATGTGTAGTATATAGCATGAATTCATTAAAAATGAATCACTAATCTTTTCTAAATAATACTATCTATCAAATAGTGTCTATGACAAATACAATATTTAGTAAATCTTTACTTTTCAAAACATCTGATAAACTCTTCCACAATTCCCTTCTGGTCAAAATAGGGGGAAAGTGGAGTTAATAACACTTTGTAGGTGGATTTATAGCTGGCTACACAATTACAAAATTGCAATCTCACAAAAATACCAAATATGGCACCCAGTCAACACAAAATCTCTGGTGATATTCACAGAACTATGTATCTAGCCCTTCTTATTTCAAAATATCATTAACTTCAAAGGAAATAAAGACTTTTAAGGTAAATATATGCCCCAACTTTAGGTAAATAGTCTGAAAAAGACTCAAAATTTAAAATATCTTGTCAGTCTAGAAATTACATGGAAATTAAACAAGGATAATCATTAAGTAAGGATAACCTTTTTTTTTTTTTTAAATGACTACAAAACATTGTTTGGGTAAGACCCATTTCCTATTTGTTTTTTTGTTTGTTTGTTTGTTTGGTTTTCTGTTTTAGGGGGTTTGTTTTCGGGGGGAGATTGAGACAGAGTCTCACTATGTCGCCCTGTATAGAGTGCACTGGCATCACAGCTTACAGCAACCTCAAACTCTTGGGCTTAAGGGATTCTCTTGTCTCAACCTTCCAAGTAGCTGGGACTACAGGCACCCACCACAATGCCCAGCTATTTTTTT